CCTGGGGGGGATGGCTATGCCGCAATCCCTTCTCCTCCATTCTCCTCTAGAGATTTTGGGCATGCACGCACATGTGCCTGGCCTGTTTCAAGCCACCAGGCCCAGGACTTGAACTGCAGTTGACCATGTGGGAATCCATAAGGTAACCATTATATCATCTGCTGGTTCCAATAATTCTTTTTTAAAAAATGCCATGTAAGGGACCAGCAGTTAGCATAATGGCTATGTCGCTGGACTCCCATGTAGTCAACCGCGGTTCAAGTCCCGGACCTGGTGGCTTAAACTCACGCCAGGCACATGTGCGTGCGTGCCCAAGATCCCGAGAGGAGAATGGAGGAGAAGGAATTGCTGTGTAGACATTCCCATCTCTCTGTCTCTCTCTGTCTGTCTGGCGAGTGCACGTGCCCTATAGCTAAAACCTCTCCAAAAAAAAAAAAAAAATAGCATGTAAACAGTTGTACTGTGTTTCTTAGGGACTAATGACAAGGGGAAAGTCGTACATGTTCAGGACAGGTGTGGCAGTCAAGCAGGCTCATCTGTAACAATGTGGAGCCCGCTGACACTGAGGGCTGGCTGCGTAAGCCAGACGTGTTGTGGGGTGTTTTCCAGTAAGCCAGCTTGTGTAGTCCTCCTGAGAAGGCCTTTCCATTTCCCTTATCCAGAGATGAGGGTGGAGAAGGGACTGCAGTGGAGGCCATCGGCCCTGGGGAGATGTGGTTTCTCACTTTTCCTCTCACTGTCTCTGGGAGTACACACACTCTATGGCACCCCCCCAAAAATAAAGAAGTTGTTGGGGGCACGTGTAGGTCAACTGCCCCGCAGCCCCGACCCTCCCGACTTCGTCAGTGTGCTGCTGTCTGCCTGCCTCCCACAGCGCCTGCCTCAGGACTTCCTTAGGTATCTGTGCGCCGGGAAAAGGAGGGGTGATGCACCCCGAGGACAGCAGGAGAGCCGGTGCAGAGGTGCCCGGGCCCCACTCCCAGGGCACTCGGAGCCCAGCAAAATGGAACCCAGGGCTGACCGCAGCACATCCACTCCCCTCATCGCCTTCTCTCCCTCCCCTGACTTATCTCCTCCGTCCCCACCTCTGTTCCTTGAAACCACCTCCCCGGTGGACTCTCAGGGTCTGCTTCGGGAGAACTCAAGCTAAGACAGAGATTACGTAATTGCCCGAGACCCAGCGGCAGGACTGGAATTTGAACCAGGTCCACAGGTGTCACATTCCCACTGTCCTAAGGGCAGGACCACACCTACCACACCGATGGGGCCCAGCTGGCCCGGCCTTCACATCCCAACTCTGCTGACCTCGTCTCATCTCCTTTCTGGCCGTGAGGGCAAAGCGCTGCCCCGCCCTGCCCTGTGGCCCCGTAAGTGTGTCCCCTCCGTGAAACACGTGTGGAATCTAGGGGTCCGTCCAAGGCCTCCCCTGACTGCAGCCCTGTCATTCTTTACCCCAGGGACCCCCAACTCAGTGGCATGCATGTGCCGAGGGCCTGGCACACCTGACCTCACCCGATGGGCACGATCGTGGCATCCCACTGAAAGGTCAAGTTAGGAAACAGGTTGACGGAAGCCAGGGGACTTCCCTGCTGTCTGTCGGTGACTGACAGATACAGGTCTACCTGTTCTGTTACCGTGTCTTGACTCCTGGCTGGAGGACGGACAAAACTGAGGTCTCTGCGGCTCCTCCCACACTCCCCCTCTGCCAGGCCTACCCCTTGAACTGGGGGATGACCCACAGGCAGGTGCCAAGGGGCTAGCCAGGAGCAGCAGAAAGCCCAGAGGAAAAGGCCAGGCTGAGCGGCTCCCTGCAGAGAAAGGGGTGGGGCATCCTGCCCAGCCACCCCATCTGGCAGAGGGGGCCGGTGAGGGACTGAGGGAATGACCCTTTCTGCCCTTCAGCTCTGTCCAGGTCTCAGAACATCTTGCTTCCCAGAATCTCTGGCTGAAAATGACTCTAGGAGGCTAGGCCAGGTCCGGGTTGCTCGGAGGCCACGGCAGGCCTGAATTCCCGCTCCTAATCTTGGCTGCTGGCTCTCAGCCTCGTTATCATCAGGCAACATGGCCAGCCTGCAGAACAGAGCTGGCCTGAGGGGGTGCTGCATTCTCAGCAGGCCTGGGGAAATCACAGGGTTGGAGTGGGGTGAGGGTGGGAACCTCACCAACAATATGGCGTCAGTCCCTGCTTAAAATCCTTCTGGGGGACCAGCAGTTAGCGTAACGGCTATGTCGCTGGACTCCCATGTAGTCGACTGCGGTTCAAGTCTCAGACCCGGTGGCTTAAACTCACACCGAGTGCGTGTGCGTGCGTGCCCAAGATCCCGAGAGGAGAATGGAGAAGGGATTGCTGTGTGGCCATCCCCCGGGGGGTAATTTCTCGCTTTCTGTCTCTCTGTCTCTCTCTGTCTGTCTGGCCAGCGCACGCACCCTATAGCAAAAACCTCTCAAAAAAAAAAAAAAAATCCTTCTGGGGGCCAGCCATGGCATGCTGGCTGCTAAAGTGGCTGGATTCCACAGTGCCGACTAAGTGGTTCAAGTCCCAGACCCGGAGGCTTGAGAAGCAGGCTAGGCGTCTGCCTGTATGTACATGCACAAAATCCCGAGAGGACAATGGGGGAGAAGGGATCGAGGCATGGCCACCCCCGCCCCACCCTCGCGCAGAGGGGTGCCTTCGCACTTTGCCTCTCCGTATTTCTCGCTGGCGAGTGTGCACACTTCAGGGAAAAACAAATACCCTCCGGGAAGTGCTCGTAGCCTCCATGACAAAAGCCCTTACCAGAAGCGCAGAAGCCCAGTGGTCCTTTGCGTCCTGCGTGGCCGGCTGGGCCGAGACGCGCATGCGCCCTGCCGCCGCCTCGCATTTGTCCCTTTTTCTGGGAAGCCCACCCCGGCTGAACCTCCTGCGTGAAGTGCTCCCCGACTGGCATGCCGTGACCGCACACGCACTGACGCAGTGAAGCAGCCCGTGTGCGGGTCTGCCTCCCGCTCGCCATCCACCGGCCTGGAACCCAGCCTCACGCAGCACACGTTGCTTAAAAATGAGTGACTGAGGGCCAGCCAGTGGCGTTGTGGTTAAGGTGGCTGGATCCCACACGGCTGATTTCTCAGTTCAAGTCCTGGACCCTGCAGTTTAAGAAACGTGCCTGGGGCATGTGCGTGGGTGCCCAAACTCTATAAGGAAGCGTGGAGAAGGGGCGGACTGCGGTCAGTGTGGTCATCCCCTGGGGGGTGCCTTCTCACTTTCTCTCTCTGGCAAGTGCATGCACTTTTTAAAGAATTTTAGAAAGGGAAGGGCATCAGGTGGCATGGTGGTTAAGGTGTTGGACTCCCACATGTCCGACCGTGGTTCGAGTCCCAGACCTGGTGGCTTGATTACTCACTTTCTCTCTCCTTTTCTGTCTCTCTCTGGTGTCCTATAGCATGTATCTTATAGCAAAATTAGAAATAATAATGATAAATAAAATTTAATAAATTATTCTTAAAAATAAAGGAAGGAGTGACTGAGTAAGCGGCACCCAGAGCAGAGGCTGCAAAAACAGGTCAGGCACTTGAGACAGTAGGAAGCAAAGGGACCGTGGCCGACCGGAGAGTGACCTGCCTAAAGGAATCCCACTTCAATGCTAGAAATTGGCAGGTGAAATTCGGCCTCTGATAAACAACAGCAAGGATAGCGTGCGCCCACCCTGCACGTGGGCTCCGGGACGGCGGCTGCATTCAGATCCTGGTTTGTTAGCTGTGGGACTTTGGTCACATCATGTGAACTGTAGTTTCCTCACCTGCAAGTGGAACAGTAAGATCACCTGCCAAGGGACCAGCAGATGGCATGGAGGGTAAGGTGTCTAGATCCCACATGGTTGATTTCATGGTTCAGGACCCAGCAGCTTGAAAAACATACTGGCCGTGTGTGCATGGATGCCCGAAATCCTGAGAGGAGACCGGAGAAGAGGGGATTGCTGCATGACCATCCCCACTAAGGGGTAATTTCTCGCTTTCTTTTTTTCTTTCTTTTTTTTTTTCTTTTGATGTTTTTGACATAAGATACACATTCACCAGAAAGACAGAGAGAGGGGAAGTGAGAATTCACTCTCCAGGGGGATGGCCACGCCACAATCCTCTCTCCTTCATTCTTTTCTTGGGATTTTGGGCACACACACAAACACATATGCTTGATGTGATTTTTTCAAGCCACCAGACACAGGACTTGAACCCGGTTGACCATGTAGGAGTCCAGCACCCCAACCATCATGCCACCTGGTGGCCCAATCTCTCACTTTCATTCTCTCTCTTCCTCTGTCTCTCTCTGGCAAGCACAAGTGCCCTATAGCAAAACAAACTTTAAAAAAAAAAAAAAGAAAGAAAGAATCCTGTCTTATAGAGCGACTTTGAGGACCCAGGGTGAATTCACAGAACATCCAAGAAAGAATGCCACCTTGGGGCACGCACCTGAGAAGTGCCAGCTCTGATGAGGCCATGGAGGGTGGCCTCTGTGCTGAGGGTCCCGGCGGGCAAACCCTGGCTCTTGACAGGGAGCCACATGGGCGCTCCAGGTGAGGAATGTTCCAGACAGGGGGAGCAGCTGGGGAAAGGCCCACGGCAGACAGCTCAGCTGGCCTCAGGAGCCGAGAGGAGAGGCCATGGGGCTTGCTTTGTGTTTGTTTGTTTTCCCTAAGTTTATTTCCTTTATTTATAAGAGACAGCATGAGGGACCAGCAGTTAGCATAATGGCTATGTTGCTGGACTCCCATATAGTTGACCGCGGTTCGCGCGCCGGACCCGGTGGCTTAAACTCACAGTGGGCACATGTGCGTGCGTGCCCAAGATCCCGAGAGGAGAATGGAGGAGAAGGGATTGTGGCGTGGCCATCCCCGCTGGGGAGGTGATTTCTCGCTTTCTGTCTCTCTGTCTCTCTGTCTTTCTGGCCAGCGCACGTGCCCTATAGCAAAAATCTCTCAAAAAAATAAATAAATAAATAAAATAAGAGACAGCATGAGAGAACGAGCATGAGCATAGGTTGGGTCCCAGCTGTCACCCACAAGGTGAGTGACGCCCCCTCTTCCTTCCTAATCCTGCAGAGCTAAAAGCCCAGCTCTTCTGGTGGTTGTGAGAATGAAATGAGCCAAGGGCCCAGCCCTCGCAGGGGCTCCATCGTTAATTAGAGGAATAATCACCGCGTACTAACGAATGTCACTCTGGGGCCAGACTCCTGCAGCCCCCAGACTCGCCGAGTAGAACTGGGATCCCCGAAGCCAAGGCTGGGTCTGCTCCCTGGCTCCCAGCACCCACCCTTCTGCTGGGTGTCCCAGATCCCCACGGAAGCTGCTCGCTCTGAGGAGTGGCACCCTTGGGAGTGAGCAGCAGAGAAACAAACCTCGCGGCCACTGCTTTGGACAGCGGGCCTAATTAGCTGAGGTGCAGCAGCCCGCCTGCGTAAACACCTGCCTAACGCTCCATCAGTTAGCCCCTGGGAACCCCGGCCTGGGGTGGAGAGGTCAGAGTGTGGGCTGCTTGGAAGAGCGCGGGAACTGATGTGAGAGAGGCTGCACAGCTTCTGGAACTTTCCAGGAGAGTCCAACGCAGGGAAACATTCAGGACAGCGGAGCAGAACGACTTCCAGATCAGGTTAGAGTGTACGCCCCTTTGCTTGTCTAGCCCTGCTGTTGCCGGGACCCTGTCCAGGAAAACAGGCCAGGGCTTACGGAGCTTGGACAGCATGCTGTGTGCGGGGGACTGGAGCAGGGATGCCTGCTCCCCTCAATGCCCCCTGATTTCGCTGCATAACAGAAATCCACCCTAAGCAGTCGCCTCCCAGGGAGGCCGAAAGCCCCCCAGGCTTACATGTGCCTGACTCGAAGGTGAACGTGGGTTGACTGCAATTATCCACATGCCCACGCTGTTTGCCAAGCTCTGTCTCATCTCACAATACCCGTGAAGAGGGACTCATCCCCTCGTCACCTGGTGGTTTAAATCCAGGCTCTGTTACTCACCGGCTGTGTGGCCTTGGGGCACTCTCTTCGCCTCTGTGAACCTCCCGAACCTCATCTGTAAAATGGAGCAACTAGCCACCTGCCTTCGCAGTTCAGCTGTGAGACGTAAGTGAAGTCACAGGCCCGAAGAGTTCAGTGGCGCCTCAGCATATGGTCAGCAAATACATCGCCCCCTTCCCAGGGTCCCTGTTTTATAGAAGACAGAAACCATGCTCCGTGAGCTCCCAGACTGTAACTATTACAGAAACCATGCAGGGCCAGCAGGTGGCGAGGCGGTAAAGGCGCTGGATCCCCACATTGCTGACCATAGTTTGAGTTCTGGACACGGTGTTTTGAGAAACTCGCCGGGGATGCCAGCAGGTGGTGTAGCGGTTAAGGTACTGGACTCCCACATGGCTGACCATGGTTCCAGTCCTGGACCCAGAGGCTTGAATCTCACGCCAGGTACATGTGCATGCGTGCCCCAAATCCCCAAATGGAAGAGAAGGAACTGTGGCATGGCCATCTCCCCCAGGGGTGATTTCTTGCTTTCTCTCTCTCTTTCTCCAGTAAGCACACATGCCCTATAGCAAAAATCTCTCGAAAGAAGAGAAAGAAAGAAAGAAAGAAAGAAAGAAAGAAAGAAAGAAAGAAAGAAAGAAAGAAAGAAGGAAGGAAGGAAGGAAGGAAGGAAGGAAGGAAAGAAGGAAGGAAGGAAGGAAAAGAAAAACTCGCTGGGTGTGTGTGCATGTGTGCGTGCGCAAAGTCCTGAGAGGAGAACCGAGAAGCGGGGATCGCAGCAGGTCCTTTCCTCTGGGGCGTGATTTCTCACTTCTCTCTCTCTGTCGCTCTCCTGCGAGTGTATGTGCCCTATAGCAAATTTTTTAAGAAAAAAAGAAGAAAAAGAAAAAAGTCATCACGCAAATACACAGTGAGCACGTGCCGTCGTGGCATTTCCCGCAGTGGGGAGACCGTCAGGGGGACAGACTCACAGGTGAGAGCACAGGACATGCGGGGACAGGTGCCCGAGGTCCTAAATGGGCAACGCCCACTGCCTGTGACCTACAGACTTTGAGGTCAGAAGTCCTTATGTCACTATCATCTGTACCTTGTTTTCTACAAATTAGCATCTTCAGGGCCAGTAGGTGGTATGTGGTGAGGCTGCTGGGCTCCCACCTGGCTGACCACAGCTCGAGTCCCCGACCCGGCAGCTTGAAGATCACGCCAGGCACGTGTGCTCGAAATCCCGAGAGAAGAACTGCGGCATAGCCAGCCCCCCAGTGGGTGCTTTCTCACTCTTTTTCTTTCTGTTTCTCTCCGGCAGCGGCACACACCGTATCGCAATAAAACCTAAAAAGAAAAAAGTTAGCGTCTTAGTTCTCAGACTTATGGAAAGTCTGGGCCCTAATGCATAGGGAGCAAAACGCCAGAGGACGTGACTCTCCCGTAGAGGGTCACCTGACACCAGGGAGCTTGTGAGACAACGGCCAGTGGCAACGAAGGCCGCCCAGTCCCACCCCCACGTCCCTGTTTTGTATAATTTCCCTAAACGTCGGATGTTAATAGGATAGAGACTGACCTTCCAACCTGTGGCAGGATCCCTTCTGAGTAAGAATTCCAGGTCCGTTCGCTCTGGACAGCCCAGTCTGGCCGCCACTTTAGACTGATGATAAGAAAATGAAGGCCACAAAAACGTGTGATTTGTCCAGTTACACAGCTGTGCCTGGGATCAGCGCAGAGGCCAGAACCTGCTGTCCCCAAGCCCCACCCTGGGTCCCCGGGACTTCCCTGGACCTGGCCAGGCGGGATCCAGGTGTGGGTTACCCACTCTGGGCAGGAAGGGATCTGCCTCCCAGTGGGGCAGAGCAGGAAGACGCCCCCGGCTGGACCTGATCGGTATTGCAGAGTCTGTGGTTGCCGGCTAGGACGCTTGCTCATTTTGCAGTGAGACGCCCAGAAGCCCAGAGGGGCCTAGAGGAACAAGCAGCAGCTGGGTTTCCACGGTGACCGACTCCTGAGTCTAAGTGCCTTCTTCCTTCAGAGCGGCGTGGGGGTGCAGCAAGCACAGGGTGCAGGAGGAAGAAACCCCAGTCCTGGCCCTGACCTCTGCCAGATGGACAAGCATCTCACCTCCCCGGGACTGATGAGGGGTGGAAGGACACCATGTGTTAGGGGCCTGCCCCGGGACAGGCTGTGAGCTCAGTGCTAGGCGTTCCTGATCTCATGTAATCCTCCCAGCAAGCCTTTAAGGAAGGAGCTGTTATTAGCCCCCCATTTTGCAGATGAAGAAGCAGAAGCACAGAGAGGTGGAGTAACTTACACAGGAACGCCCAGCTTGTTAAGAGCACTTGAGCTGTGCAGCCTAACAATGCTCCCGGTCCTCCTCTCTGAAGACGCATTGCTGTCCTGCGGATCTTGGGGCAGGGTCGCTCAGTGCCCCCCACCCCGTTCTCTGGTCGTGGGGTCATCAGTGAGCTTGGCCTCGGTGGGTCGCGGCTGTCTCGCTCAGGAGGCGGACTGCGCGTGGTTAGGGAGTGGACGCGAGCGGAATCGCTGAGCTGAGCTGAGCTGAGCTGAGCTGCGGGAATTCCGGCCAGTCGCTTGAGTTCCCTAGCCTCGGTTTCCTCACCTGCAAACTGGGGCCTGCAGCGGTGGCTCCCTCAGGGGCGGGGAGAGGACTAGGTGAGCTAATGCTTGGCCCCGAGCATCTGGGCACACAGGAGCTGCCTGTGAATACCGTCACTCTTCCTCCGTCCGCGCGAGCGTGTCTGCTGGCTGAGCGGGTGGGTGCGTGCGAGGTGGGGGAGGAAGCCCTAGCATGAGAACCTGGCCTGAGGCTTCCTGCAGGACCAGGAGGAGTTAGCGGGGTGGGGGGAGGGAGGGCACCCCAGTAGGAGTAGCCGCCACCGACCGACTGGCCCCTCAGTGGCACAGGGGACTCACGGGAGAGCCCTCGATGTACCCTGGCAACCATCCGCTCAGACGCCTGACACTACCGCTCCCCAAGCCCTTCCCTGTCAGACTGGGCCAGAGTCCACGTCCCGACTGCCTCGACGCCTCAGCAGGTGGCGTCACCATTCCCGCTGTCGCTCCCTCGCAGAGCCACGCCCAGGCAGGGCTGGGGCAGCCCTCCAGGGACCAGGGGCTGATGGGGAGGAATGACTGGGACTGGACGAGAGGCTGGGGCTGGCTGAGGTGGGGTGGGTGCTGAAGGAAGAGGGGACCAGCCTGGGGACAATGGAGGGCACCAGCTCCCCTCGCCCCTCAGCTCCTCACTGACCTCCTGTGCGCTCATCTGCTGATGTGCAGGTGCCCTACCGTGAGGATTCTGGGTTTGGGTCCCTGTCTTGCCACTTCACTGGATACCTTAGGAAGGTCCCATTTCTCTCTGAGCTTCACTTTTTCCATCTATGAAAAGCAACAGTTGGGGGCCAGCAGGTTACACAGTGGTTAGGGAACTGGACTCCCACATGGGCGACCGCGGTTCAAGTCCTGGACCTGGTGGCTTGCCTTCTCACTTTCTCTTTCTGATGAGCATATGTGCCCTCTAGCAAAATTTTTAAAAATTCAAAATAAGGGGCCGGCAGGTAGAATGATGGTTTCGGCACTGGACTCCCACATGGCTGACTGTGATTCGAGTCTTAGACCTGGTGGCTTGAGTTCTCACTTTCCCTTTCACTCTGTCCTCTGGTCAAATTTAAATAAATAAATAAATAAATAAATAAATAAAGTTAAAATAAGTCTTTAAAAAATAAATTAAATTGGGACCAGCAGTTAGCGTAATGGCTATGTCACTGGATTCCCATGTAGTCGACTGCAGTTTGCGTCCTGGATCCAGTGGCTTTATAACTCACACCGGGCGTGTGTGCCCAAGATCCTGAGAGGAGAATCGAGCAGAAGGGATTGCAACGTGGCCATCCTCCCTGGGGGGGTGATTTCTCGCTTTCTGTCTCTCTGTCTCTCTCTGTCTGGCGAGTGCACGTTTCCTATAGCAAAAACCTCTCCAAAAGAAAAAAAATAAATTAAATAAATAAATTAAATTTAAAATACATTTTTAAAATGTTTAATTATTTTATTTAACGTTATTTATTGTTATTATTATTATTAATTTTTAATTTGTCCAGAGAGAGAGGAAATGAGAAAGCAAGCCACCAAGTCTGGGACTCTAATCACGGTCAGCCATGTGGGAGTCTAGTGCAGAAGACACTAGGCCACCTGTAGACCCCCCAAAAAATCTCTGCCTTGGGGGTTGCTGGAGGCTTCAGCAGGCCAGAAGCTGTGATTCTCTGGGCCGGCTGAGAGTGCTCCGGGCCAGCAAGGAAAGAGTTAAGTGGAGACCCTGCCTCCCGGCCAGGAGCGAATCAGGGCTGGCAGGGGAGGAGCTGAGCTGTGACTGGGAGAGGGACCTGGGCGGCCAGATGCTGCCTGGAGGAGAGGGAGGAGAGGCGGCAGAGAGGCTTCAGGGCTCGCGGGCCAGGCCGGCCAGGGCAGGAGCTGCTGCGTGGTGCTGGCGCTGAGCCGAAGGCTGGGCTGCGGGAGGACCTGCTGTGCTGAGCCGGGCAGCGTCTGGCGGAGTGGAAGAGGACCGGGCCCTGAGACCTCTGGCCCCCATGGCAGGGGGGGTGCACCGACTGCGCCCGGGGTCTGACCTCAGCTGACCCCGATGACCCACAGCTACTTTTAGACCCAGCCACAGGGCCCACAGTGCAGGGGTGCCTGCCAACGGGTACATGGTGGCCCAGGTTGCTTGGGTTGCTCAGACAGGGAGGAGTGGGGAGACCAGCCCTGCCCCTTCTAGTCCTGTCCCCTAGCCAAGCCGCCCCCTGTAGTAGCCCTGACCAGTGCCCATGGCCTGGCAGGCAGCCTTTTCAGCCGAAGCCAAGGTCAAGGGGCGCAGCCAGGAGGGCAGGGGGTCACGGCCTTGCAGTCTGGGCAGAGGTTGCGTCAGCCCAAGCAGAGCCCAGGGGCAGGGGGCCCTTCTGGGAGGGCAGAGGCTGGCCTGGTTGTCCAAAAGCCAAGGGAGCAGAGTCCTGAGCTCAGGAAGGCAAGTCCGGAGAGCTGGGTCCCGCCTGGCCCCTCACACCTGGCCAGAGACTTAGGCAGGCAGCGTGCTCTCCCTGGACCTCAGTCTTCCCGTCTGTGCAATGAGCATGCTAGACTAGAAGGCCCGCCGCCCTGGGTCCGCGCTCTTCCCCAGCCCGGGCAGTGCCAGCGACGGAGTAGAGCATCCTTCTGGCTGGCACTGTCAGCCTCTTGGCTCCTCCTTGTCCTCCTGGGAGTCTCGCCCCTTCTCCGCCTGACAGTGTCTCCCAGACCTCAGTCACGGGCCCCCAATGGCTGGCCGCGCTGGCTGGATGCAGAGCTCCTGCGGAGTTTCTCCCAGCCTGGGGGACACCCAGAAGATGCCCGTCCACCTCTGCAGGGCCCCCGTGGCGGCAGCTGCAGCTGGGGAACCTGCTTTGACACCTCGAAATGCAGGGGCGACGGCCTCAAGGTATTTGTGCACCCAGTGACTGGGCCCATCTCAGAGACCCAGCGCAGGGTCCTGGCTTCTGTGGAGGGCTCCCGCTATTACGCCACCGCCGCCGCCAAGGCCTGCCTCCTCCTCCTGGCTGGACAGTGTGGCCGGGAGCCCCTGCTGTGGCATGGGGGCAGGAACCATCTGGTCATCAGTCTCCACGCAGCCCCCTGCCCCCGGACCTTCCAGCTGGGGCAGGCCATGGTGGCCGAGGCCAGCCCCACGGTGGACACCTTCCGGCCGGGTTTCGATGTGGCTCTCCCACTTCTGCCTGAAGCCCACCCCCTGCGAGGGGGCGCTCCTGGCCGGCTGCGGCAGTACAGCCCTCAGCCCAGGGAAGCCCTGCTGGCCTGGGCAGGGGAGAGCGGCGGGGGGCCCCCAGCAGGCACGGACTCCTCTGCCTGCCCCTGGCACGGGCGCTGTGAGCAGGACGCTGGAGCAGAGCAGTAAGTGACCCTTCCCTTGGGAGTGGGTGGGGAGGGGCGCTGAGGCAGGACCCAGCCAGCCGCCAGGACAGAGGGCGGATGAGGTGGAGCACCAGCCTGGCCGGGCACACTGGGCCTGGGCTACCGCAGTGGAGAGTCAGGTTAGACGGCGGGGAGCCCTTCTGCCTAGCCGGGGATTTACCTGAAGGGTGTCAAAGGCCGGTTCGCTGTTCTCTGAGATGGTTGAAAACAAAACACGACTCACTTCCTAGCGCCCTCTCACTCTGGTCCTCCTACTCTAATATTTGATTTAACATACACTTGTAAAATGTCCGTGCTAAGCGCTTTTAAGAAGTTGGTTATAGCACAATGCTAAGTGCTATCCTCGATGTGTCCGTGTCCCAGACACTAAAGCTCAGTGAGGCCGAGTAACTTGTCCGAGGACACCCAGCCAGAAAGAGCACCGCCAGCATCGCCTTCGGCCTGAGCGTTCTGAGTTTCGAGCCAGGGTTTAAGACCAACCCCTTAATCAGTCAGACGGATCGTGGAGATGAATAACGGCACGGCTGGGAACCTCTCTTTCTGGGGAACAGCCTTTGGTTATGGCGGATGGGGCGCGGGTCCCCAGCGGAAGGCCCTGCTGTGTGGGGGCGCGGGAGCTGGCCAGGTGTTAGCCCCAGCTCTCTAACCTCTGCATCCCCAGGGCAGCAGCCTCCCGGCAGTGGGAGCTGGTGGCAGAGTCCCCGCCTGCCCCTGGGGCTGACCTGAGCTGGAAACTCAGGTCCCCTAGGCACTTCTCCCTGTTCTCGCTACAACCCAGCTATTCTGAGAGCTGCTTGCCCCCCAGGAATTCTTCAGGGCAAGCTCCATTTTTACTTCTGCTGGGCTCCTGGGGCTTCTCTTAACCGAGGGGCCCCTGGGGGTATGGGGCCAGCCTACCTCCTAAGGCGCATGGGCCTCCAGGGAGCTCGCTCAGCCGGGGATAAGAGTGGAACGCCACCCCCCCAAGCTCTTGGCCATTCTGCCGGCACCCGTCCCTAGAGCACTGACCTGAATGGTCACATCGAGATCTCCCCAGGCCTCTCCCACTCAGGGCACAGACAGACCTCACTCTGGTGATAAAGTTTCTGTTTGTAAGAATTATTTAATTTGCTTTATCGCCGCTGTTGTTATTTTTAGTTTGCTATAGGGCATATGCACTCACCAGAGCGCGCGAGTGAGCGAGCGAGCGAGCTGCTAGGTGTGGGACTTGAACTGCAGACACTCACGCAGGCGTCTGGCGCCTTGACCACAATGCCGCTTGCCTCCCTGGCTTCTCGGATTCAGCACTCAGCTATTCTTGCTTGCAGGAAGTTCCTCTTTGGGCTGACTGAGTTACGCCACGCAGTTGGGTATTGACGAGGCAAAGTTATTTAGCCAGAACTGCTTGGGAAATGCCGTGAGGGAGCCGCGTGCGGGTTCGTGGTGCACGAGGTGCTCACCGCAGCATCAGGAACCTGGCCGCGGTTTTCCAAGCGGCAGGGGTCACCATCTGGCCTTTTTGAGAAGTTGATTCCAAGGTGCAAAACTCGGTAGCCTCTCGTCGGTCGTCCTCTGAGCTCCAGGCATTCTCTCTCTCTGGTCTCGGCCTCTCTGGGGGTGACAGGACCTGCGCCCACTGGGGTAGCTCGAGCCTCAGTGTCTCAGAAGTGCCAGGCAGCTCCTGAGCTAGACAGTACAGGGACAGAGCGGGAGAGGGAGGCCACAGCCACAGGTCGGGCCCCACAAGGTGGTGTGAATAAACCAGCACTGACCAGAGAAAGACGTGTGAATTGCCACCTGCTGGCACAGTGGTTCACATGCTGGACCCAGGGACTTGAAACTCACACCAGGCGCATGTGCGTGCATGCCCGAAATCCCTAGAGGAGAACGAAGGAGAAAGGACTGTGCCATGGCCACCCCTCCCCCAGGGTGATCTCTCTCTCTCTCTCTCTGCCTCCTTGGCTAACACATATGCCCTATAGCAAAATCTCTCTCTCAAAAAAAAAAAAAGAAAAGCTGTTGCTCGCAGACCTGCTGCCGTCCTACGCCCAGTCCGCTGTGGGAGGGGCAAGGACAAGCTCACACTGGGGACCCTGCTCGGGCCAGGTGCTGTCGTCTCTGATCCTCTCAAGCTCCCTGCAGGGTGTTGTTGTCCCCATTGTGGGGAGTAGGCAGCTGAGGCTCTGGGAGGGGGGCGAGCCAGGCGCGCCCTTCCATGACAGGGTCCTTTTCTCTCCAGAGCCCCCCTTGCTTTTCTGGAGCTGGGACTGACCCCTGGGTGCTGGCTCGAAAGCCCATGCTCTCTGCCTTGCAGGGGCAGCCTTCTGCTGCCTGGGAACAAGCCTCACCCACTTAGATGGCTATGTATTTATTTTTATGAATAGGGAATTCATCCTCATGGTACGAAATCCCAAAGGTACAAAGGGTGTACAGTAAAGTCTTCACCCACCCCTGTCTCCCGGCCTCCCAGATTCCCTTCCTGGAGCAAACACGGATTCCAGTCTAGTATGTTTTCCCTGTGTTTTGAATATGTATGAGCAATTTACATATATGGATACATATACGTGTATGTGTGTATATATGCATGCTTGTATATGTATGTATGTGTACACACGCACGTTTATGTGTATATGTGTGTATGTGTGTATACATGTGCATACATGCAAGCACATGCGTATGGTGCATGTGTATATATGTTACACATGTGTATATGTGTATGTATATGTGTATATATACACATGTGAGGCGTGTGTATATGTGCACACCTGTATATACATATATGTATATGTGCATATGTATGTATATGCCTATATATGTGTAGGTGTATATACATGTAGGTGTAGGTGTAGGTGTGTACACATATGTATGTGTGTGCATGTATACATGCATGTGTGTGCGTATATACGTATGTCTGTGTATGTATATGTGTATATATGTGTAACTATATGTATGTATATGCATGTACGTGTGTATGCAAGTATATGTGTGTACATGTACACACGTATGTATGGATATGTGTACGTGCATGTACAGGTATGTATGCATGTACGCACATGTGTATATGTATATATACACGTGTGTGTGTGTGTGTGTGTGTGTGCACGTGCGTAGGGCACGTGTGCTTGCTAGAGAGAGACCAACAGAGAGAGGGAAGGTGAGAAATCACTCTCTGGGGGGGATGGCTGCGTTGCAATCCCTTCTCCTCCGCTCTCAGGGTTTTGGGCATGCGTGCACACCAATGTGATCTTCAAGTGGCCAGGTCTGGGACTCGAACCATTCAGTTATCTGTGTGGGATCCAGTCCTTAACTTCCACGCCACTTGCTGGATCTCTCCTCCATATTTTTTTAAATTCAAAAATTGTTATTTATTTACTCACGGGGAAAGAGAGATACAGCACTCCTGACAGGCCAGCCCCGCACTCCACTGGGGCCAGGCAGCCAGAACCCCGAGCACAGGAGGCCCTGAGCTCCGGATCTCCTGAACCCTCGCGGGCTGGCCTTCCCACGTGGCCCACCTGCAAACCGCTGTCGCCCACACCATTTGAACACAAATTCGGGCCCTGATTTAAAGTCACACAATGCCTAGGGCCCATGATGCTTTTCAGAGCCCATGAAATGCTTTCATTTCCTTGAAACCGCTCTGTCCCCACCCTTTCTGTGACTCTGAGCCAGCCTGTGGGTGTCTGGGACTCAGTCTCCCATCTGTTCAAACGGTGTTGGTCCAGGGAACCAGCAGTTAGCGTAATGGCTATGTCGCTGGACTCCCACGTAGTCGACTGCGGTTCGCGTCCCGGACCCGGTGGCTTAAAACTCACGCCGGGCGCGTGTGCGTGCGTGCCCAAGATCCCGAGAGGAGAATGGAGGAGA